AATAAAATTACGCCTCATCTCGCAAAAAAAAAGTACTTTTAATGTCTATTTTTCAAAATGCTCCAGGGGAATATGGCTCCTGAACCCCAATGGAAGTGCCTTGTTACGCTCGACAATTTGCATCCTCCGTTAAACGAACTAATTTATAGTCCTGGAAAACGTTTTCTCTATAAATACTTCAAGATATATAGCTTGAGTTAATCTGATGAAGAATAATAGAAAAAAAAACTACATGTTTACACATACCATAAGTTGTTCAGATGTATTTAAGAACTTTAAACACACGAGTTTGCTACAAAAGAAAATGTTATCGTTTTCTTAGTGCAAAGCTGAAAAATAGACTACCTGTATTCTATCCACCGAGGGGAAATCGAGACCCGGACTTTAGCATAATAAGTCCGTAAATTTACTGCTAACCCACCGGAGGACCAATCTACTATAATTTGATAACTTTATATTTATTCACTAAATTATCAAGATTTATTTCTAATTAATTCTTAATTATTTCAGTTATATGTCAATCCCCAAAGATGTTAGTTGAGAGTACAGTTTGTGGTTTTAGAAGAACAGGATGAAGAAAATGATAGGCAAACTTAATAAAAGGAAGAAAAAAAAGAACGTGACAGAAAAATTTAATTGTAAAATAAAAGGCATGTTGAAAAATTCAGAAAAACCAAATCCAAGAATGTGACCAGAAATTTACAAGGGCTTTCAAAAAAAAAAACAAAAAGAGTATACTCGTGGTTCTAAAAGCACTATTATTTAAGACCTGTTTATGAAATGATATTTTTTTAAAAGTAATACAAATCAAATTGAAAAGCCATGAAGAATGCCAAAATATAAATTTGAGAATTGAAATTATGAATAATAATGTTGTTGCAACACACATTGTGAAAGATAACAATATTGTTACAACACAGAGAGAAGAAAATGACAATGATGTTACAACACAAAGAGAAAAATATAACAATATTGTTACAACACAGAGAGAAGAAAATGACAATGATGTTACAACACAGAGAGAAAAATATAACAATATTGTTACAACACAGAGAGAAGAATATGACAATGATGTTACAACACAGAGAGAAAAATATAACAATATTGTTACAACACAGAGAGAAGAATATAACAATGTTTCTTAGATTGAAGTGATGCGGATAAAACATTTCCTGTTCGAAAAATTATTAAACCTAAATAAAGACTGAAAAGCTAAATGGACCGGATGCAGTAAATTCTTAGAAACTTAATATTCAAACCACCTGTCAGAAAATTTCTAAAATTTTTTTTCCCCAAGAGTTTCCTTTTCGTCCACTCACTGCGATCTTACCACTTAGAACAACAATATTTATGTGAACGTTCCCACGCCCACAACTATCTCTGTCTAACTATGTTTATGATATATTCAACAGCAACAGAATTTTCGATTCATAAAAAACCTACAACAGAAACGTAAGTAGACGTAAATTTGAATTACGCAAGGGGGAAGGAGGAGATGTGAAGGGGCACACACACCCCTTGTTGCTGGTGGAGGTTCAGAAGCTTCTCTTTGAAAAGTTTTGAAATTTAAACCGGAAATGGCGCATTATAATAACGTTTTTTGGGTGTATAATCCATAAACAATTAACCGTACAGGTGACAAAAAGTATTGTAGAAATTTATATTTGGATAACTCGCATTTGTTTTTCAAACCTTGTTGTGGAAAAATAGATTTTATATTAAAGAATATTCGTATCTTGAATTTTCAATGTTACGCATAGATGTACATCTGTTTGCCAAGCTACAGTCCTATACAGAGTGTCTCTCTCTTATTACATACCATATACAAACAAGACGTTGGTGACCATGGTCTTCCACAGATCTCTCTATGTACCATATCCAAACAGGACGTTGGTGACCATGGTCTTCCACAGATCTCTCTATGTACCATATCCTAACAGGACGTTGGTGACCATGGTCTTCCACAGATCTCTCTATGTACCATATCCAAACAGGACGTTGGTGACCATGGTCTTCCACAGATCTCTCTATGTACCATATCCTAACAGGACGTTGGTGACCATGGTCTTCAACAGATCTCTTCTCCTTTAGGCACAAAGAATTACCAATGTCAATACCTTGATCCATTTATACTCTTGATATAAGCCATCTTCTGTCTTCCACGGTCTCTCCTTCTTTCAGTCTTTCCAGTTATGACCATACTTTCAATATCTTCTTTCCTCACAACGTATCCGAGAAACTCCAACTGTCTCTTTCTAATGTTAGTCATCAGCTTCCTCCTGCAACCTGCTCTTGACAAAATATCTTCATTTGACGTGTGACTTGTCCAATATACCTTCAAGATGCGCCATAAGAACCACAACTCAATAACTTCTATTTTCTTTTCCATACTTGACGATATTGGCCAACACTCTGATGCATACGTGAGAACTGGTATAACATAACAATCCAAAACTCTTAATTTCTTCTCCATAGAAATTTAACTATTCTATTTACCAGCATCTTTTCAGTTTCAGAAATGCGTCTTTTGCCATCCCTATTCTCCGTTTTATTTCATGTTCAAATTTACCATCTGATGTTATCCAGCTTCCCAGGTAGTTGAATTTATTGATCTGCTTTATCTGTTCTGTACAGACTACGACTACAAATATTATTATGGGAAGAAACACGAGCCTTACTGATGAGATGATGAAGAGCAAGCTATCTAACATTCCTCCCTGTGTTAGATCAGAATCATAACAACTTTGAGAAATATGTCAGATGAAAATTTTAAAGAGTATTGGTACTTGCTTTTGGAAGCTTCTTCGGGAGACTCCAAGAGTCAAGTCAGATGTAAAATAAACGTAAGTAAAAAAAATTCCGAACAAGCGGGTGGGTTACCTCACTGAATTATCCTACCTTGAAAAACCCTGTATTGATTGGTGGATAGTCAGTTCGTAGATGCTGTCATCAGATTGAAGCAAATTAGAACTATAATATAATAGAAACTGTTCAACTTGAAATGCTTTAAGAATGCTCATAAACAAATTAAAACATCTAATAGAAAATCTGCAAGAATTTTGATATTGATTCACTTCCCGATTTAATTTAAAAGAATCAAATACAAAGACAATGCACAGCCTTCTAGCGAGAGTTGCCTAAAAAAACAAAAACTTTGTCTAACGTGGGAGTTCAGGATTTTTATCAGACGTTGTAATGAGCACCCAACACATTCAAAGTTGGCAGTCACTTTAAAGAGAGTCATGTAGAAGTTGTAATCGTTGTGTACACAACATTTAAATTTATCCACGACTGAAAACAAGGAGAAATTGTTCTGAGTTCGCAGAAGGGGCGTTTAGAGAAATACAGAACGGACGAAAACAGTAGAGGTGCTATTAAAGTAATTGGCAAACATCAGTAAGCTTACATTCAGGAAAATGTTTTGCTAGAATAAATGAAACTCATTTATTTTTGAATCAGAAATTTAATGCGTTCATCTGATGGGTTTAGGAAAGTTTAAGCACGTTAATTTACTATAGCCTATTTTCTTATATTCTCTCAAGAAGCATCACATTTTATATATCACAAAGACTGTGATTCGTCTCTGAATTCTCAAAAAAATTCAACTAATGTGGCAGCGTAGAGCGAATAACGAATTTCACAGAGGAGGTGGACTTGATGTTTCGTTTTATTGTGCCCAAATATTACTTTAAGAATGTAAAATGTGAATTGTTATTTGAAATTCCTAGAAAAAAAACCCATAAAATTAAATTTCTACACTTTCCATTACTATATTGGTACGGCTTATGTAAAAGTAGGATTTCCTTCCTTTTTGAAGGCCCAGCATGGCCAGGTGGTTAGGGCACTCCACTTGCAGGGTCGCGGGGTCGAATCCCCATCACGACAAACATGCTCGCCCTTTCAGCCGTGGAGGCGTTAGAATGTGACGGTCAATCCCACTATTCGTTGGTAAAAGAGTAGCCCAAGAGTAGGCGGTGGGTGGTGATGACTAGCTGCCTTCTCTCTAGTCTTACACTGCTAAATTAGGGACGGCTAGCGCAGGTAGCACTCGTGTAGCTTTGCGTGAAATTCAAACTAACCCATGAGTGTTCCACAAATTTTAAAAACTAAATTTGTATTAGACATGATTATTTCATTTTGAACTATACATATTTTAAAGATAATGAATGAAAAAATAGCAGAATATCACAGTTAATCATGTTTATATTTTTAGGTTTTAGACGAAAGTTTTTCGAAAAGAAACATGGCTTTAAACAAAACTTCATGCATGTGACCAAGTCTCAATTAAAGTAAAAGCGATTTTTATCTTACCTGTTTTATAAAACTCCGTTAGAAACACGGATTTTACTTGGGAGTGAAAAACTTTCGACACGTTAAGTTATGGCTGCTTTTGAGAGCAAAGATATACAATGAGCTCTATGCTGTCTGTCCACAGTGAGGAATCGAATTCCGGACTTTAGCATTTTAAGCCTGTAAACTTACAGCTTATCCACCGGGGGACGACACGTTAAGTAAATTTGTTTGTTTGTTTTAGAGTAAAGCCACAATGGGTTATCTGCTGGATCCTCCGACGGGAATCGAATCCTGGATGTTAGTGCTGTAAATCCATACACTTACAGACGTCCCACCGAGAAACGACAAGTTTAGTAAACATATACTAAATTGTATAAAATTGTTATAAAGTTAATTTTAATTTTAACCTGAATGAACAACACAATAGAAAAAGCCTGAAGAAGATAGACCAGTGTTCTATCGAAACATACAGTGTAATCCCCAAAGATAAGCCACTTCATTATGTTTATAAATCGTTGTTTGTCAATTTATTGTTATGTACTGAATATAGAATAATTTTTTAAAGAAATTCCCCCCCCCCCCCTCTGGATCTATATGAAATCCTGGAAACGCCAATGAAAATAATCTTCCTAAAAGTATACGTCACTAATAATATTATCCAAGAAATTTGAACGTAAAATTTTGAGCATTTAGCCTGTTAAGTTCCAAATAAAACAATAAAACCCGAATATGTTATATCTCTTATTTCAACCTTGTAACCTTAATGGTTATGGCTTAGACCGGAGTATTTTGTCAGAACCATCTTTTGTCGCGTAAGCTCTAAGCTGATTCACGTTCCGTGCATGTTTACACCCTTTATAAACATATACTATGACTTACGACATTTCATTATCAACATATTTTCTTTAAAAAACACCATCTCCGTATAGCTGCAATCATTTTGTTTTTCTACCGAGAATCCTTTTTTTTATGCTTTGTTTTTTCTAGCGATTTTTCTAAAACAAAAATCGATCCTGAAAGATATTCGCTATGTTCAGTTGACTTTTATTGGCATGGGCACTGAACTATTTCAAAAGAACGACACTTTTAAACTCGGCTGCCTGCTCCGGCTACGATTTTATAGTATTTTTGGTTGATTTATTCCAATTTATTAAACTCATATTTCCCTGGTGGTTGACAAACAATATACGATTTTCGTTTGTATAGGAACAATGAATGTTTTTTTCAGTGATAAACTTTCTATAAAATTAAGAAATAAATGATGGAATTTGGATAATCATAAAATTTGTCTTTTGTGGTGTATAAGATTTCTACTTTATGACCCCCAGCAGCAAGCTTGAAGACTTATAACGGTAAAATTGGACGTTCGATTCTTCTTTGACGATCAGATAATCCTTGGAGCAGCTTTGTGCTTAAACAAACAAACCAAACTTCTACATATTACATTTGGATCTAAAACCTCGTTCAGTAACGAAATAAGTAAACAGTAGACCATAAAACATTAACTTGCAACCATGAACGGCAAACTCTAGTAATGATACTATGGAATGAAGAATATTTTAATTCAAATAAATTAAATGTCTCAGTTATCACCTCAATTAATAAAAATACAATTATTTTAACGTTACATTTTTCAACTGATAGAAATTAATTAAAAAACAATACCTTAAATATGTTTTGTTTTTAACTTAAGGCTTATTAACCTTATTAAATAGTTTCTTATCTTTACTACATTAAAATACCCCTCTCATATAACAAAAGTAAGAAACTATCAGTACTTTTAAGTCCCCTGGTTGGACAGCGGTAAGTCTACAGATTTACAACGCTAAAATCAGAGGTTCTATTCCCCCTCGGTGGACACAGCAGATAGCCTGATGTGGATTTGCTATAGCACACACACACACACACACAGTACCTTTAAAACCCTTGTGCCCCCCAGCGGCAAGCTTGAGGACTTATAAAGCTATAACACCAAGTTCGAATATGCGATGCGCACAACAGAGATATCCCATTGTGCAGCTTTGTGCTTTTAAAAAAACAGTAATCTTTTAGCTTTTTTACAACGCTAATTTGGTTTATTCAACTAAATTATCATCAGTTCATGAGGATTGGTGCCCAACGTGGGGGGGGGGCTTCTATAAAAGTACCAGAGGTCATTACAACATTTACGATACTCAAAAAATGACCATGAAAACTTGAACGTTTCCAATATCAGCCTTGTAAATCAAAATAATCTCTAAGTATTATAATAATTATTATCATTATTTTGAATTATTTGTAAGTGTTTATCTCTATCTGTATTTACTTTTGTAAATTGTTTGTGTTTAAGCGCAAAGTTATCTGAGCTGTATGTACCCATCTCCAATAAAAATACCACTTAGCCATCGTATCAGGGGACGTTTCTAAGGCTTTAATTATAAAAAAAAAAAGATCTGATCATTTTCATCACTAGTGGCTTTCAAGAAATATAACCACTAAATTTACTTAACATTCATTCAGGAATTTCGTTCTGAATAAAGATTGCATATGATTATAATTATTAATGAATATTAAAATAATGCAAGGTTTGATGGGGTTTTTGTGTTAATTAAAGTTTTCTGTCTATTTTCAACAGAATTTTAAGTAAACAGTTTCCACCTTTGTTTTGACGCGAACTGTTGATGCTCAGTTTTTAATTTTCTAGGGGTTCAATTAATTAATTAATTAACTCTGGATTTTCTTTCAACCTTGGAATGAGCCTCAAGTAAACAATTTCCAACTTTTGTTTTGGCGCGAACTGTTGGTGCTCAGTTTTTAATTTTCTGAGGGGTTCATTTAATTAATTAATTAACTCAGGATTTTCTTTCAACCTTGAATTGAGCTTCAAGTAAACAGTTTCCATCCTTGTTTTGAGCACGAACTGTTGGTATTCAGTCTGGTGAGAATTTTGGGTGTAAATTAACTTTGAGTTTTTTCTAAACCTTGAATGAAGATTCAAGTGAACAGTTCTCCCTTAATTTGACACGAACTGTTGTTACTCAGTTTTATTTATTTATTTACTTTGGTGTAAGATATATCTGAGTTTTCTTTAAATCTTAAATGGAGTTTCAAGTGAACAGTTCTCCCTTATGATATATATATATTTAAATCGGTACTTGTGTATAATGTTAAAATAATAAATATACAACGTCAAAATCAATACACAATTAAAATCATATCAAAATAATGACTCTACATGTTTCGCCGTGTCACACGTCATCTTCGGGAGTGAGGTTGCATGAGATAAATTTCACATTTAACATTTTCTTATGGGAAAAACACAATTGTATTAGCTCAACCTTAAGGTATTACAGCAACTTATACTCAAGAATAGCTGGAATTAATGAAATTAATTATTATTAAATAAAGATGAAGGTCCGGCGAAGAATGTGGCGAGAACTGTTCTAATATTTATGCACAACTGCAAAATTACGGATAGGTCACGTGATACTTAAGAAAATATAAAATGTGAAATATATCTCTTGCAACTTCATCCCTGGTGATGACGTGTGACAGGTCGAAACATTTAGAG